GGGTATCTGCACAAGTCGCGGTCACGAAGCGTACAGGAAGGGATATGGTTTGAAAGGAGAGGCCCATGCTTTCTTGCAGAACGTTGCMCACGTAAATAGATTGCGCGGTGGGTGTTATGCAAGGAACATGAGTATGGACGAAGCACAGAAATCCAGAATGCAAAATCACACCGAAGTCCAAGTATTCAAAGCCAAAGCAGATAGCACATGGAACCGAGTAACCATCCAATTGAGAATGATACAGAAGAATCGTGAGTCAATGTCCATGCCCATCAGGGCAACACCAACAGCATAACCCAAATGTAGCTCTCTCTTGTGAATGGCGCCAGGCGCCCTATCTACTCTACCGCCTATCCTACAACTACAGCAATGAACAGCAACCAGACAACTTGACTACCAGCGAGTGATGATGTCAACACCAATGCCGTATTCCACCGTCACCAGGTACGTGTCATCTTCCCCACACTCTCCCTTGTTACCCACACAGCGCCCTTCACCTCCGAAGTACCACCTTCGCCCTTCGCCCCTCTGCGCCCTCTGCAGCCCGGCTATGGCCGCCAAGCGCCCAGTGCACAGGCAGCACCCTACCGCCTAGCGCATGCCTGCCTTGCACTACCTCTTAGCGCAGCGCAGCAGCCAGCAGCTCGCATTTGCGCAGTGTGCCGGCATTGCCCGCAATGGCCAAGATCCCTGCTGCCTCGCCCTGCTTGCCTATATGCCAATGCAGCATGTGGGCGGCCTCCCTTCAGCCTGCGACCGGGACCCAGAGGCTGAAGCCTTCCCGATACAGTTGGGCCCGGGAGCAATGCAGTTGCATCTCTCTTCTCAAGGCCTGCGGCCAGATTCAGATAGTGGGCCGATTTTCCCTTTGCCATTTCGGCCTCTCTACCCAGCATGCATTGTCGGCCTCACGTTCGAGTGCCCAGGGCCTAACTAACTCAGAGGCCCTGGGCATTTCAGCATTTGCTGAAATCCGAGACTCGGTGCACTCCAACCAACTGGCGTGCTGCAACTGTATAGACCCCACTTCGTGAAATGTTGGCCGAGAGGGCTCTTGTTGATTTGCTGGCCCGCCTTGACTTAGGGCGGGCACTAGGCTTGCTGGGGCCTTAGCCCAGAACATGTACATCATGGCAAGGCCCCTACTTGAGGTCTCAATCCTCACATTCCATCCCCCTTAGCTTCGAAAGTCCGCTGAGATGCTTACTTCGCAGGTGCCATCCCTTTTAGCTTCCGTTCATAATCTGCCACCACCTGAGGAGCTGTTTCCATCAGTTCCTCCCGAGTAAACCACCGATCTTCTTTAGGATCCGTATGATGCCTGAATCTGATTCGGTACTCTCTCTTGGGTTTTAGGAGGTCTTCCTCGACCCAACGGCTTTTGAACAGGCATATCCCTGTGTTCCACAATGTCATCGATGTCGACTTGTCCATCCATGGTTGGGGGCAGCATCGATCTCCTGGAAGGGAATTGATCAGTCTCAGCGAAAGGTGCGAGCTTTGAGGCATGAAAGACTGGGTGAGTGCGTAGGTGTCCAGGGGCACGAATGACGTACGTGGGACCATCCAACTCATCTCCCACTACATCCAAGACTTCCCAGGGACCAAAGTACTGAGGCATCATGGCTTGCTGAGCTTTCTTCATATGTTCAACAGCGTCTGTAATGACCCGTCATAACACAGACTGAGAACACTGCTGATTTCTGAAGTTCTGCCGATGGAATGGATGCCTTGATGAGATTCCCGCGTTCTGCTGTGTTTTCTAAGTCTGTCTGTGTGTGTGTGTGCTTGTGACCTGCATGCCTGTCTGAGTGCTTGTTGGTATGAGTGTGTGTGGGACCCTCAAGAGCACTCGCTTGTTTGGTAGGCCCGTAGGGCCGGTACTTACCTGTGGCCGTGGCCTTGAGGGTTGTAGCAGGGAAAATACTGAAGTGGCGAAGCTAGCGGCCCTGAGGCCCTTGGGTTAGCGGAAAAACACTCAAGTAGGCCGGTAGGCCAATACTGCACCCCACTGCGGTTGACGTGAGGGGTACTGGAGGCCGAGCAGAAAAAGACAAAGTTGGCATTTTTAGAGTCCAGTAGCGGTAGGGTAGGTCTAGGCCGGTACCAGTCCAACCAGTCTGAGTCTAGAGCCTGTACGGGTAATATCAGGGTCTGCAATGATGTTTCCCTCCGTAACGGAGGAGGTACCGGTTGCTTGGAGAGGCCGAGCGGCCTGGAAGTCACCGCCCAAGAGGCAAGCAGGCCGCTATATCTAGAGGCGGAGCCAAGAGCTCCGCCTCATTCTTCAGTGTGCGAGTTGGGCATCACGCTGCTGGAGCGCTAGGTGGAGGAGCGTTGGGCACTACAGCGCTGCTGGGAGGAAGAAGCCGGGAGCTTCCTTGGCTATGGTGGAGCTCAGCCGGTAGTAGGAGGAGGGAGAAGGAGACCAAGGAGGAGAGTGGTAGGGTACTTACCTGGCTATGGTAAACACCATCTTCATCTCCTTGCCAGGCGCTGCATCAGGAAGGCCCCAGTGGGGTTAGTGCCGCATCAAGGAAGCTCGGACAGAGTTAGGCATGGCGGTTGAGTGGGCAGCGGCATAGCTGCTGGGTGATCACCTTGGAGTAGGGCAGCGGTGTAGCTGCTTTAGGTTGTCTCTTGTACAGGAGGCTGAAGCCTCCGTAGTCCGCCATAGCCTCAGCCTGTATGTGGAGGAAGAAGAAGGGCTGCCATGGCTATGGTGGRCYTCATCTTRTGCCTGCAGTAGAAGTGGGATTCGGACATTGATTCTGGTTCAGCTGTTCAACATTATTATTGTTTATTTATTGTTTGAATAAGAGAGGAGGAGATAAAGAGGAGGAG